TTTTAAATGTATGAGTACCTATTATTGATTTTATAATTTTTAATGAAATTATCATCAAGAACTATAGTTCTTTATACATTAATTATACATATACATTAATTCCAATTTTATTAAAGCAGCTGATAGGTATTGTTATAACAGTTTAAAATAATTTTTTGTTACACCCAAAATTATACACATTTATTAGGTAAAAAAAGTTATGGACCGACTATTTTAAGGAAATACCTATCCAATAATATTGTTATTTGATTATTTTTGTTTAATGTGTGGGTATAAATGAATTTAAATTATTGTATTTTAAAATACTATTGTTTGTTTAATATTGTTATTTTCTCGTATAACAATATGTATGAAAGACTATGTCCAATGTCCGCGTATAGTATCCACAAACTACACAAATTTCAGTAGAGTTGAATATTAAAAGAATCAATAATATGTTCACAGAAAACGTGCTAAAGGAATTAGGAGGTATTCAAAATCCAAAAGTTAATGCTTTGTTTGTGCGTCTTAAATTTGTGATCCTTTTGTTTTTAATTTTCAGAACGAAAATACAACAGTTAATGAGTTCACGAGCATTGTACGTAAAACTTTTTCACTCTTAAACGTACAATTTTTTTTTCTTCAAGTTCGATTCATATCTCTTGAAACACTTTTAGTTGTTTTCCACCATATATTTCCTACAGAACCCTGCATAATGATTTGATATGAAAACTATTGATGAAAAACTGAGCTTCTTTTATACAAGCTTTTATAAGAGACATCAAACTCATCCCATACCACTTATAAAAGAGCTTTTTGTTCTAACATTGGATACCAGAAAATCATCCGAATCTGCGGGTTAAAAAAGAAGTGGTGTCGCGACCTGTAATGAAGCATATAAAAATAATAATGTGCAATATATATGAGTCAATAAATTAAAAATTAAAAAAAAAGTAAAACAAAGAAATAAACAATATAATTAATCAAGTCGAGTGCCTCTAATTGCTGACTCCTTAATCAACTCTTTCATGTCTATATAATACCTACTCTTTGTCTTACTCTTACTATTGTTCATTTTTTGTATGAATTGTTTATTTCAAATGAAAATGAAAAATAAAAATAATCTAATCTACTTAATATTTCCCATTTTTTCTGAGCTAGTGTAGGAATATAAGTAGGATCATTATATCCGACCCCTGATCTGTCTTAAAAACCTTATACCATCATGAGCTGGCAGAAAACGTATTTCCACACACGTCACACACACATACGCACACATTCTATGGTGTCGTTGAAAAATTCCATGTGATGCGGTTAGAGGACAGAAATAAATTTGTTTCAATCTGTGGGACCCAGATCGCACATCGTTACGCACATTGTTGATTCAAGCCAACAGCCATAATATGAACACTGCAGTTTGTTCACATGCGATTCTGGAAGCGGTAACATTTGCCATTCGAATTGCCGGATGAATACTAAAACGTGAAATTCGACCTATACATCAAGTTAATAAATGCAAGTCACCCTCATAGCTGCTGTCGTTGGACGGATATAATATTTTCAAATCATATAATCTAATATAATATTAATATCGTGTACAAAACGTAAATTATATATGAGGGCACCTCAAATGCGCGTGTTTTAAGATCGAGTGTTGAGTGGTGTACAAAAGTTGCATATAATATCTATATATAATATCTAATATGCAATAAGAAATATTTCAAAGATGTGAAGCTCGCATATATATATATAATATACATAGGTATACCTACCACCCGTCTTTTATTCGCACATTGCACGTCGTACCAATAAAATAATATATAATATTATTGTATTGCACCACTTTGATAAAATCGTATAAAGGTGAAAGGCTATAATAATACGTGTATAGCTTTTTTGTTTCGTTAAAGCTACAGCGGTTGTTTTACCCGGTTTTTTTGTAAAAATATCGTCGACAAGTGTCTGATACCTATATTATATAGATATAACTTCTTTTTGTTTTTTTTTTTTTACTTTTCTCAGAGGAAATTAGATTTTTCAATATGAACGTGCCAATCCGATTGACTAATATTGACAGATAGTCGAATAAGCGAGAAAATATCGTATTACCATCGACAGCTGAAAAAAATATATACTTTTGATATCCAAATATACAGCTATACTACAGGCTGTGCATACCTCATGTTTTAAAATAAAATTTATCTTCCGCCGTCATCGGGAGTATTGTTTTTCCATTCTTTCGGAAGAACAAACTAAATTCAAAAATAATGTTCTTGAAAAATGTACATCAGCTGGATCAGCTGTAAAAGAAAATCTTTGTTTTTGTGCATGAAAAAGAGGCTACAATATATATGTCAATTATATCATCCAAACTTTAATTACAATAAATATTGTTATTGCATTTTCATATTATTATATTTAGCTACCCTTTATAGCCTACAATAGCGTAAGTGCCGTAGCCAGGATTCAGGAATATGGAGGGTTTGATTAAGTATAAATAATTAAACTAAGTTTTTTACAGTTTTCGTATGTAAATAATACATTATTACTAATGGGAGAAAAAGCAATGGGAGTGGCAGGAGGGGAGTTAAACACCTCAAACCCCCCTGACTACACCACTGCTACCTATACACATTACCGTGTCTGTCTGTGAATTCAGATAATTTGATATGATAGTTATATTGTACCTATACATAACATTCAACACACGTATATACCTACCTACTATATTATATACCAACCTACATAATATAATATTATTACGTATAATATACTCTTATTATAGCGGTCGAAACCGCGACGGTAATGATTAATGGTATAGTCCCTAATCATTTCCGGTTTTTAGTGTATCCGCACGTGTATTATGGTACGTTTATTAATATATTATACCGCGCGGTGGTTACGGCCGGGCTCACCATACCTACCGCGGTTAATGTACCAGTTCATTATTACACATAGGGATAATATCTGTTACAGTTTACAGATCGAGTGAAATGCGCAATAATTATCGAAAACCGATTATCATAATAGGTACATTATATTATACGATTGCAGACTCCGGAAAAGTTACACGATAACAGAATAATAATGGTACCATACACGACCATAAATGGTATTCCTATGTTATGATTTCACAGTTATAACGTGTGATTAATAATAGTATTACACCGTAGGTACATGCAATTACATTTCATAACAAATAATACGTGTGCTTTGTTTACCTATGACTTTTGACTATATAATAGAGTGATATTGACGACATTATAGGGACCTATATAAACACACCTTCGAATTACACTTTTGAGGATTTTCGGAAAACTTTGCCACGATTGCAGATGACTATTTCATCGAATGTAATGATAATCACGATCGTAGATAAAATGTCAGTGGTGCTTGGTCCTCTAAGACCTTAAGGTATCGGCGGGGTACACTCTTTCAACACGACTAACCGACAAGCACACCTACCCTAGCTACCGTCCAAGGTGCGTCCGTCCATCATTGCCGGTTAAGTACACCCCTTTGAGCTTCGTTCGGAATTTCAATTAATTTAAGTAGGTAAATGAGCATTTTGAATAATATTATTAAGGTACATAGATCTTGGTGCAATGGCAAAAAACGTAGGTATTGAATATTTTGAATGAATGATAGGTATAGCTACAATTTTTTAAAACCATTTTATTTTGGCATACTTGATTGTTGTAAGGCAATACTTTGACACTATTTTGTCATAATCGAATGAGTCTTCGTGAAGAAATAATTGCGTAGGAACCTATCAATCAATTGCGAGCATAGGGATCGGTTTTGTATAGATATAATATGTTCTCTTCGGTAATTTAAAAGCTTGCAGCTAATGTTTTTTAGTAATGCTATTTATAGGAAATGATAAGCTGCAACGGGGCCGCTGTGTATAATATAATGTTATTTTTCCACGAGCCCCATTACAGACCACTCCCCGCCCCCCCAAAAATGGATAAGATTTCTATCGCCAGACGCTAATAGACAAAATTCAATTAAATTACGCCCACTATCACAATCGTCATTATGCGGTCTATACACCTGCAGCCGCGAGTAATGAATTTATTATCATTTATGTCATCTGAGCTAAAAATAAGATTTGTCGTGTCCTTCGGCCGCGATAAAAACATTATGATTCGAATCGTATTTCATTCGGAAAACACGCGTACGGTTTTGTAAGAGATATTTTGCAGTTTTCGATGAAATACGTAGGTATTACATGGTTATTGTTACGTAGACTACATACATGGTTATATATATATAATTTATAGTATAAAATATATACTACCTACCTATAAGTGTATATAATATATTGTATTCTGAGAATATTTCGTTCTACGGCGAATGGCCACGTGCGACAATATAAACGAAATGGATCTGTCAGCACATTTCGACAGTCGCTTTTTTCCAATTTATTTTTACTTTTAACTTGTCCCGCCGAAGTGAATTTTCCGAACGGCGACGAGTGGGTGCATTACGTTCACGTGACGATGATGGAAAAGCGAATAAATTAAACAACTACCGCCAACGTTGTACATCGCAGCGACTATGACCGCAACTATATGTACATTCCCTGCTGTATATCAGGCATAATCTATAGGTAGGTATATATTATGTGTTTACTGTTTATATAATATGCAGTGCTTGAATTGAGGAAAAAATTAATAGGGGGATTCGGAAGTATAAAAAAAATGCACGTACCTGAATATTTAAATATTTTATTTATTATAGTATAGTAGGATATTATAATTAAAAAGGGTAAATATTTTTGAAAAAGAAGACTGAAACCGCCCCCACGCGTCCTCCCACAATTCAATCACTGTAGCCTGTAGATATATGTACTATATATATTAATATAAACATGAAGTCAACTCCAGGACGGTACACATTTATTATTTACCTGTTGCAATACTTACCTAATCGTTATAAGAATTAAAACTTCAACTAGGTTATGATTACGCCCTTTCTTCAACTCCGAATGTAATGAGAAATAAGATCTGTGTATATTTTTTTCTCTTTCGGTACTATTTTAACATAATCTCTCTATAATATTTAAATAGAAAAATATAGTAAACTCTGAAATCACATGGATAATATAAACGTATGTGTACAGTTAATATTTTTATCAAGTTATATAATTTTATTATATATTGACTTAGTATTCTAAATTTGTATTAGGTGGGTTCACATTGTTCACAATAATATAATTACGCAATATCCATTTCTCCACGACCGAGCAATCATCTGCATGAGTGTTGGCAACACTGTCAAATTTAAAGTTGTCTAATATACGATAAGGCAATTTTAGCAAAAAACGGTTATTTTGAAGGCATTTTACGATTATCTCATTTTCAAATGTTGGCCATACTGGAACTTACCGTGGTCATAATATTAGTGCGATACTGTGAAACAGCACAGGTGAAATTTCATCCATTTTGTGTTTCAACCACGAAAAAGGACTTCGTTTCAAAAAAATTTATGTGATATGTGACAAATTTAGCATCAAGTCGTCTTTTTAATCGGTAAGTTGTGACTATTAATAGACTAAAACAATAGATATAGGCATGTAGCGAATTATAAATTAAGTTAAAACTATTAATAGACTAAAACATTAGATATAGTATAGGCATGTAGCGAAATATAAATCTTAGGTTAAACTATAATATTATTATACGAGAGTTAGGAGTTGACAAAAGTTGGTTCGGTTATTTTATTAGAAAAAAAACGTCAACGTTAGAACTGTTAGAAGTGATTGATGTAATGCCGTAGTATATGTAGTATATAGGTATTATATGGCTATGTGGCCCGATAGTCTACGTCGTACTCGTACCCCCGTCAGTAGTATACCTAATTTTTATTTTCGGTATAACTAATAATTTTTACGAAATGTCATTTGTTGTATCCTGCACAACGGACTCCGGATTTACGATAATAATTTATTTTGTTGTAATATTATTGTTAATTTCCGTAAGAAGTATACAATCACGATTTTAATTATTTTCAACAGAAAAACAAATAGAAAAATAATAACAAACGTGTAGAGGCCATCCGTTGGGTGGATTACGGAAATCAGATTCTAAAAAAACAAAAATAAAAACGGGTTGGGACCATGTAGTTATTTGTTGACAAACGAGACGGGATGGGGCGCAGGGTATAAGGTAAATGTCGTTATATTGTTTTGTGAAATTGCACTCGGCCGGATGTCCACTGCAAATACGAGAGCCACCACCGTTATCCCCACACTGCACATACATGCGTCCACAAAGCAGAGGACACGTGAAAGGGAGGCCGTATACGGTGGAGGGGGGAGGTGTCCAATATATATAATACACGGTACGCGGGTGCGGTCGTAATGGAATTGTAGGAATTCGGTTGCCATACCCGCAATAATCATATTTCGTAATTACGCATTTGTTTTGTAAATGAGCTTGTAACGTGCCAAGGCTATATTCGACCACCCGTTGTCGGGTCGACCCGACAGCCGTATTATTTTGTATCCTTTTTGATGAGTGCGGTGTGCGTTTTCTGCAGAAAAAGGGAGTGACTGAAAAATTCGATGGATCTTTTTCAAGACACATTCCGTCCTGCATGGTTGTGTGTGTACCTACATATAGGGATGTTTTGGGACGATTTTTTTTGCTCAAATTGTATAAATTTAGAAATTTCTCTATACGGTTTTTGGATAAAGGTGCGAAAGCCCTTTGGAAATGGTAGCGTTGGCTTAACGTGAACACGAAATCTGCATTAGACGACATCAGACACGGACGATTTGTGAACCGAGAGTGCGCCGTGCTTACTATTGCCATCGGCCATCGTATTTCCAAAGAGAGAGAGAGAGAGAGAGAGAGAGAGAGAGTGGGAAGGTGTTAACGTGAACCCGCCACCGGGCCCGATTGATTTACAAGTGTGAAAAAAGACCGGATGTCAGATGGCATTATATTCGCAGTTGTAGTTTTCTCGACTTAACGCCGACAAAAGGGCCTATAGGTGAGGTTTGGTGACGTCTCTGTTATATAGTGTTAGACGACCGATCGAAATGTCTGTGAAATAATTACCGATCATATTCGACACGGTTGATCAACTTGACTATAACCCGGGTAAGTTTTTCATTAAGTATTTTGGTTTCGATAAAAAAGTAGTATAGTGGAGCGAACAAACAACATAATTATAAACATTTTAAAAGTATGGAAATGTCAGTATTTACTAACGAATACAAAAGTTATTTGAAAAAAAGAGTGAAATAATTTTTTAAGAGTATAATTTAAAATCTACAGACGCTCCATCTTGATAATACATTTCTCATATAATAACATAATAATCTAGTTCTTTTTTACATCTCGCCAAACCACGAGATTCGAGGACCGGTCTTAAAATTGCATATATGTAGGTATATACCGGAAAACGTATTTCAACAATGAAATATTTCATTAAACATTTTTTAGCCTTACGACAATATTTGCTTAGCCACCATCGTTTTACCACCGTAACGCGCATAAAATACGGCGATGGTGATAAGTGTTTGACATGCTAAAAACCTTCGTTGGCGGTGGTATAACGTCAACACTCGAATAGTCAAGTGGCAAAACGAACACGGGGAGATGAGAAAAAAATGTTACTTTTGTTATTATAATCAAATTACTATACAATAATATGCGCGGTTGAGACAGGAAATAATATTTAAGATGTCGACCTACTTTACAAATTCGTCGTCGTCAGCAGCATATTGTGGTGCAGTTTTACGTAAAATATCAAAGAGAGAAAAAGAGAGATGGAGAGAAAAAAGAAATCTATTCAACTACTATAGTATTATGTCCCTTAAAAAATACCTATGTTAATACATTATACATAAACAATGTATAATAGTTTAGCTTGGTCGGTGAGTGGAATTAGATTGGTGGCCCAATATTAATATTAGCTGATTAACTGATGGGATTTCGATTCATATAGGTATATATATATATATATATATGTACTATTATAATAACAAATAACAAATTACGATAATAACCGTAATATTGGATAAGCACCGTAAATTATTAATTTGTTGTTGTCATGCATATGATAATAAGGTGCCTGTATAATATTAAATTGTCCAATTTCATTTATTACGTTGGTTTTATAGCGCGTTGTTCTTCTATGATGATTAAAACAATATTGCTTATTCGAATACATAATTTAAACGATTGATTATCCGATAAAAATTTATACTTCGAATAAAATTAAAGAAATTAAAATTCCGTGCATGAGGTCAAAACAACCGTAATAAAAATACACTATATATTACTATGTTCAGTACATCGATTAAAATAGTATCGATGACTATTAAATTCAAAACTGTTATAGGACCTTTAATGTCTAAAGCTACAGTGAATTATAAATTATATGTTTATCCTATACGTGTACGGTGCACGTCTATATTATTTACAGCTGTGATGTTTGATATTACTATTGAAAATTCTATAACTCAAAATAAAATAATTACTGTTACTAAAACGTCATATCGTTACCCTAAATCGTGAAATTTCACTTTGAATCAAAAAGATATTTTCATAACATTTTGACGTTATACAACAATTTCGTGGTCCTATGCTCTTGTCCCCTTATATACGGGTATGATGTCAACTAGGTTAATTAAATTTTAGACGATTTATATATATTATTATTATTATTATTGTGAATTCCAACCGATGCTTATTTTTTCTCCCAAAAAAATATATCAAAGAGCAAGCAAACGGTCAGTTATTTCAAACAATATTTTGACCAGTCATATCGATGGACGCGATTATACATTTGAAAACTAATTTGAATTAATTATTATGATGTCTACTTGAGATCGATTGGTCACTTTTTCAAACCCTTCGTTCTCTAACTCCTATGAATTTGATTTGTAAAATAATAATCATATTTAGATAATAGTATGAAACCTGTTACTCAGGCAACATTTCGTGCTGTGTTTATTTTAATAATACATGACATTATGTATGCATTTCTACTTTCGATGACCGTTGTTTTTTTTTTCGCGTACCGATGTTTAATATTGTGGGTGCTAACATTTATTTTCAGGATTGTTGGGGAAAATTTTTGAATTATTTGTTATTAAATTTTGCAAGTTTTTTTTTCTTGTGGTCCGACAGCTAGGGTTAATTCGCTGATATTAATTTTAAATGTTATATAAAGCAAAATCAAAAGGAGAAAAAATGTTAATATTAACATTGGATTTGCATAAAGTCACGAAATAATCCTTTTATCCGGGGTGTGACAATAAACGCGTAGTCTCTTATTTACATTATTTTCAGGCCTTATACGGATACTGGTATTAAAATCTGCATTAAAAGTATAAATATTATATAATATACCCAGGGTGCGTAACGCCAACATCCCTTATATACAAAACACGTAGATACAAGGATACAACATTCTCGCGAAAAGCCGACTTTCGAACGGAACTCCCCTAATGGTGAATATTTTGTATTACCTATATTTTGTAATTATCTGCAATAATAATAATAATAATAATAATAATAATAATAGTAACAATAATACTGTCGTAGTTATTACTGGCGATTGCGTTTGATATTATATTATGCGTACAACAGTATCGATTTGTGTGAATAAACATATATATATATAAATGGCGTTATTTCAGTGGGAATAAAGTGAACAGTCGCTCTGCGATACAAACAATTATTTGTGTTACGAGTGCATTAAATTATACAAAAGTGAACAGAGGAAACGTTTGTCTTAAGTTAAAAATATCGCTTCGTTTATATATACGTATATTATAGTGTATACATCGCGCGTTATTATTATACAATATATACAATATACTATATATATATATATGTATAGGTGAGCGCTTAATCACAAAAGGAACAATGCCCGTTGTTCAGGAAGCCTGCGAGCCTAAATCATCTCTCGGGAATATTCTCGAGGGTGCTTTTACCGTGAATGCATTATACATGTATAGAAAACTAAGAATAAAATAATATAAAAAAAAGAAAAGAAAAGGGGAAAAAAAGAAAGAACTATTGGCCTAAAACTTTACCTCACCTTCGTCCTCCCGCTGAGACCGTCTCCTGCCGGGGTAGCTTTTTAGTAGCTACGTAAATATTTATCAAGAAACTTGCAGCCACGGGGTGAGCAGTGCGAGGGGTAATATATTCGAACAATTTTTTTCTTTAAACATCCCTCGGCATTCCGGTTAAATTATATTTTGAGCGACCATCTATATATATATATATATATACTACGCAGCGATGACGACGACGACCTCATCTCAGGCCACAGTTCTCTGATCGGCAAGGCAGATATATTAGACCCAGAAGAGAGTTTAGGCTATTTTATTTATTTTTATAGTTCGTAAATTATACAAAGTTGTCTCCACGGGATAATGATTAGAGGGGTGCAATGAGACTAGGACACAACCGTCGCCATCGTAACGAACCAAAAATTTAAAAGGTTGCACATTAACGGATTTAATTATTTATAGTAGTCAACATGTCATATATGTCACGTAAATTTA